GACACATCAAAAAGTAGAGTGGCTTAGTGCACTTCAAGTATGGCAAAACGAACCTTTGCTTTTCACGGTTCCTTTTGTTTCTGTTTATTCTCTTTTTAGTGATGTTACTTTTGAACATCACTACTTTTGAAACCGTGGCACCAAGAAATTTACTTTTCACTGTTTTTCTAGTCGTGAAGTGACGGTCCTGAAGCGGACTGCGGTTTGAAATACAGTCAAAACAACGATTTTGAAACATACCGCAAATGTATCAACTGTATCAATCACTTTCCGAGACTTTTGCTGTTACTTTACATCTCTTTTGCTCTTTCTTAATTCTTTTTAGGCAACGTTCATTTTTATTGGAGGCCTCATCCTTCGCTTTTAGGCCTTATTTCCAGCCAAGCGGCTCTGGTCGTAGATCTCCTCGGAGTCGGCCGTCGGCTCTGATCTATCTCTCTGCTCGTCTGCGTCTCCGCGCAATGCGCGCTAACTCGCTACCGTAAACGCGGGGCACGAGGCATTTGGCCCTGATGCCCCTTTTTTCGTTGTTTTGCATTCAGTTCTAGCAGAGTGTGTATCATATTGCTTTACTCCCTACTCACGCTGACCACGTCGCGAAACCCCAATTTTATTTAAACGAGAACTTTGGCAAAACCGTGTTTTCGAAAACCTCTCGTTTTTCTCCAGTTTAGTACCTTTCAAACGGTTTTTCATGCGTGCGGTAGATCTTGCTTATGTTCATAATGTAGGCAACGTCGCGGGGTTGACTTCTTCGATTGTGGTGAAATATTTGGCAAAAAGTGCGTTTTTGCTCGGGGACATCTTGCTCAGGATTATGAACATAACAAAGCTGACAACGTCGCCATAAACAGAAACTACTAGGAGAAGTAAAAATTCAAAGGACGCATCAAAAGCTAGATTGTCTTTAACGTGCATTTCAACTTATTGTTAGAAAAAACCGAACTTTACGTTTTTATAAGTGAATGTTTTTCGTTTAATCATCACCATCAAAATATGCTCGTTTCTAAAACAATTGCAAAAAAAGCTAGCTTTCTCTCGTTTTCCCCCGTTTTGTGGATTGCTTAGTCCTGGGCCGACCTACAATTCGAAATGCCACCAAGTGAAAGATTTTAAACTCACTGCAGCATTTTCATCCGATTTTTAGAGGTTTCTTCTGCTTTTGCCTTTGTTTGCATCTTTCTTTCTTCTCTGCTTTTTTTCAACATATCTTCACTTTTTGTGGGTGGAGATCGTCAAACAATCTTCATTTTTGAGACCCTGTCTCTAGACTATCGAAGGTATGATTGAATGGGTCCAGTAGTTCGTGCCGTTTTTCCTTAGATCTATCCTCTCACCATTTAGAATAAAGATAAACAAACATTATAGGTATTGTTCCATGCAGAATTTCTTCCCCTTCCCAGCAGTGATGTTTTTGCTCGGATTCCTTGATGCTTGGTCGAAAAATCGTCAGAATCTTCAACCCATGGCTTTTATCTCTCCCAAATCTTGCTGTTCTTTGAATTTTTAATCGGAAAAAATGCCTTCTCTTGAAAGTTTATCAATATGAGTTAGATAGAGTAAAAAATGCAATGTAGTACAAATTTTTGGCATCGATATATAGCTTTTAATTTCAAATCATCATTTTGATGATACCAATTTTCATATTCGTTTATCCCAAATCTCGTAGAACATCAGACGGCAAATAGCTAGAGTGTCGATGCAGCTTCTTCTCCTTGAAGAAAAAATTGCCATAATTCTAGTTTTTGTTCCATCCCAGGCCGCCACTAAAAATTCCAAAAAATCAACAATCTAAGGGGGTAGAAACTCAACTGTTCGATAAATTTGGTGTTTAGTCAAAATCAATTTTTGAAAATTCCAATTGGCGAAGATTCATAGTTTTGAAGCGTCTGTATAAGCCGTGTCAGCCAGCATCGGTCCCACGCCAGCATACATTGCGACGACGCACCGTCGCACGCGTCACACCGCACCGTCGCAAGTGCCGCAGGCGCGACGTCGCATGACCGATGCGAGTCGGTACAGCCTATATATCTTATGACTTCGCAAATGTGAAGGCCTTTGGAAAACATGTTTTCAAAAGTACTGAAAACTAGCCGATGCCAAAAAAATTGGCTTTTGTAGCATTTTGTCTAGGGTGTAGGCCCTTTTGAACCCTTCGCGCGCGATGTCCGTTTCGCCGCGTGCGACGCAGCTGGCAAAGCTAATCGCAAGTCGCATTCACAGTCAACGGGGAAAATTCTTAGTTTGAAGCATGCAATATACCTGTGCTAAAATCTGTCATCCTGTTGGACACCAAAGATGTACAAAAATGATGCTCCGTCCTACTCATAGCCTTGCCAATTGCAGTGGACATGTTGACCAATCAGAGGCGCGCCATGATAGGGAGCGGTTCAAAAGGGCCGTTTCCCTTTTGTCTACTCTATCCAACTTTTGCCAAGGCTTTTTCAGAAGTCTAGAACGAACATTCCAAAAAAATAGCTAAACTTAGGGAACGTAATTGCATGGTTTGGAGATTGTGGCGATTCGAAGAAGCACGAATCCGAACAAAAACATCACTCCTGAGAAGAAAAAGAGATTCTGCATAGAACACTTAAGAAGTTTGTCTATCTTGAGGGTAGATCTTAAAGTACAGCACAAACTTTCGGACCCACATAATAAATAAATCACATCGAGCGGACTTTGAGCCAAATGTTCGTTCACTGAGGCTGGTTGCAACGCTGTAATATGTTTGACTGTGGCAGAAGTCTTAAGCATAGAAGTTTATTAATCGAACTTGTTGTTCCATAAAGTTTTGAAAATCTGAGCAAACATTCGGCATCCTACTTTTTGCGAGAAAGCGGACAGAATGCGAAATTTTGAAATAATAAATTGCCCATATTTTAGTATTTGTTAAGTTAGCAGTATATTTACATAAAGCTTGCATGTTTGAATTTTGAAGACTTTTCACTGGATGTTCGGACCTAACATATATCGCGGGTGCTGGAGAAGGTCATGTTGGGACTTCCATTTTGGATGGAAATTCAGGCTATTAAAGGCAGTGCCTCGGCAGAATGACGAAACAAAACAAAACAGGTCACAGGGTATGAGCCTCCATAATGGAACATATGGGCCAAAGTTCGATCTTCCTCTGTTACTTCTAACCCCCGAAATTTCAACGCGAAAGCAGCGCTCATCTCCCCTCCTATTCGACCCCGCCCACCTAAATTCAAACATTGACGAGGGGCCGAGTGGACGCGAAGCCCATCATGTGGCGAAGACGCAGAGTCGTTGCGGGACCCTTATGCTTATAGCATTGCGGCATGGGCGCTCTGACGGTGGAAGGTGAACGGGGTCGAAGATGAGGGGAGATGGAAGCGCTGTTTTCGCGTTGAAATTTCGGGGGTCAGAAGTGGCAGAGGAACATCTAACTTGGACCCATAGTTCCATTATGGGGGTTCCTGCTCTGTGACCTTGTTTTGCCATGGGTCTCGTTCTGCCGAGCCACTGCCTTTAAGGCTATTTTGATGAGTTTTAGAGTTTAAAGCTCAGGTTTTTGGATATTTTTGTTTCGGCCTGAAGCTAGCGTGATCCGCATTGATTAGACATATCAAGTTTTGGCTTGGCAAAATTACCTCTGCGATCGCTGTCGTATATGCTTTGTAAAAATCTCAGAATCTTTGGAAACTCCGGTGTCATGTCTTGAGGTAGACGTGTTGGTCTTATCTGGCTTCTCCTGTTTCATAAATATGCAATTCTGCATCGAAAATGTCGTAGTTTAGAGAATTTCCTGGCTTCTTGCATTACTCGCTTTACTGTAAATCTAATCCTATCAAATGCTCGTTGATTATATCGAAATTGTAAATGTTCACAGCTGTTTCCATGTTTCCAATGAAGATATTCTCCAAATGAAACTGTTCATTCTGAGAAAACTTCATGAATTTATGTAGCCTCAAAGCACTGGTAAATCATCGATATGGTCAGAATAATCAAGATCGATTACCTCTTGGTAACAAGTGCGTGGACGCTATAGTTTTTCCATAATCTCAATAGACAAAATATACTTGAAATGAAGGACAACATTGATCACCTTTTTTATTTTCTGTAAATGCTACCCGTTCAGCGAAAGGCGGCGCACCATTCCTTCAACACTCACGATATGTTGGGACACCCGGCAATGCACTTTTCATTGAAAGTACCACATATGCATTCTTGTCAATTAGTTATACCAAAAATCTAGAGTGTTTTTAGAATGAGTCTTTTTGTTAGTAAATCAAAGTCTAGAGTGTTTTTAGATTGAGTAGCTTTCAAGCTTTAATGTCATGCAATAAGAAAATTTTAACGAATAGTTTTCCATATATTATCCTGCTTTGCTATAAGTTTGGATTATTAAATCGTAAAAACAGAGTTCCATTGGATCGGTAGTCTTATATCTATAGTGTTTTGTCCATGTGGTCATTGATCTACCCATTGCTTGCATTGATCTAGACGATAGTTTTCCTTTTGATTTCTTTTGCTCATCCGATGATTTTGATCAATTCATTCATCTGATTGATTTTGGCACATTTTATGTGATTACTATGCGCTCTTTACACAATTCAGCCAATCGATTCTTTGTTCCTATTAATCAGTCTATCATTCACTCATTCACTTTTTATTCATGCAACCATGCTACAATCTATCAACCAATACACCCACTCTACATCTGTTTTGCACGAAAAAAATGTTCAAAAACTGGACTTTATTGAAGCCAACTCAAGCTATTTTGTGGCTACTCTGATAAAGTATTGGAGAAGACTTGTGTTCAAGTTAGGGCATTTGATCATTACAGTAACATTAAGTAAGTGTAAGGGTGTGCACCTAACTGTAGCTTATCACACTCTATAGCAACAAATCTTTTCTTCGCTTCTCGTCTGACTCAATAATGGGCGAGTTGATAGATGAGGTCTTTTTGTCAAGAAAACCCATCAGCAGAGCACTGGGTGGGGATTGCTTGGTGCTGATGAGAGATTCATGTGCTCTGCATGAACTCAGGGAGGTGGACAATTCTACTGCGAGCGTTTGAAACTTTCTTTTCTAAGGTGAGTTTGGCACATAATTGCGAGACTTGTTCATACTAACATGTATTATAGATAAGTAAAGCTCTTCTAATTGGTGATTTCGATTATGTTTAACATTTGTCACTCGCTAAATTCATTTTCCGAAAATTTTCTATCACTATCATGGCAAAAGCGATGTAGAGCATGGTATATAGAGGATAGCCAAGGAGTGCTATCGTTATTTATAGGGACAAAAAATATAGTTATCCTTTAAAAACTTTTGACCTGTACAAGAAAGAAGACCTCTTATCAAGCTGAGCTTTTTTTGTCTTATGTTGATTTTATGCGTGTTGGTATGCTTATTCTGAAGTATTTTATAAGCATCGCACGAGTGGCGGTTCAGGATTTTCCTTTGGGTTGGGCCAGACTGCGCGGCGTACGCGACGTACGCAGCGTACGCCGCGTATGCTCCTATGATGAAATATACCGAGCGTACGCTGCGTACGCCGCGTACGCCGCGTACGCCGCTTCCCCGCGAAGTCTGACTCAACCCTTTGAGAACAAGAGGAGAGGTAAAAGAGAGCGCCAAAATTTTTTTTTGAATGAAGGTGACTGGCGTCAGCCATGCACTCCGGAAAATCTTCTGTGCTTTCTAAAATTCAACTAAGCTCTCTACCCTCCGAAGCCGGTAAATTTCGGCTGGCCCCTGTAAGTCATGTAGAAGGCTCGCACGCATGCGATTGCCTTTTCAACTATGAACTAGTGTGCGTTCGGCGCATGCCCGCAGAAACTATTTGAGACGCCAGATTTTATCCTTTATTATCCTTTAACCTTTATCCTTTTCGAACTCAAGCCTGCATATTCCTAAAGTTTCTTGTCCGCCTTCACCTTTTCGCGTCGTATCCAAGTATGATGCAAGCCATTTGACATTGATAACCTTTTCTTTCAAACTCAGCTAAAATAATAGTAAATCACTTTAAGCTCTTATACTTACCCGTTGGCTCCTCGAGCTCAGACGTTTCACCTTTCATCTCAAAATCATTCATGTTCGTTTTAATTCTACAGCCTATGGTACAGACAAACCTGTGAAGTTCATTTTACATTGGTCTATACAATGAATAAATGATGCGCATCTTTCTTTACTGCTCTGTAATAATTAAGCGTTAAGTTTCACAGATGGGCGAGATTAACATCTATAACCTTCGACTTTCTGTATCTGCGTTTTCGGACGTTGGCTCATTCCGCAGCAAAATTTGAGCATTTGCAAATGCCTATATGTCCAGAGTAACAGCTGCCACGCTACATATGATAACGTGTCAAATCGAAAAAAGTGAAGTGAATAGAAATGCTCGAGAGCCAATTGGTCACGTGAAGATCCTTTCATGTTCAGTTATTTATTTAATTTATCGAGAGGTTCTCTTACATACTGGATGTTAAGAAATCTATGTAATACTGCCAATTAGTCTTTTTAAAAGAGGGGTCAATATTACTTCGCGGAAGCTTGCAATGGTTTAACTACCTATGTGCACTCTCTCTTACAATTTGATGTCAAAACTTACGGGATAATGGTAACCGTCACGAATGAATGGTAGAGAAATACTCGTTTTAAAAGCAATTTATGTCGCGAAAAAAATCAGCAATGAAACTTCGTTATTTTATGAGTGCTCATAATTGCTTATAACTCGCTTTATAAGTTTCCTTTCGAAAATTTTTTAGGGAATGCAGAAAAAACAGATAGCCTTGTCGCTTTTTTGTAAACCAGCGCATCAGCTCTGCTTCGCAAAGGCTCGCATTTGTCAATTTGGAACATCCAGAAAAACTTACCTATGGTACTGGATTTCCGACTATTCTTCAAAATTGATTGACACCAAATAGTGCAGAACGAGAATGAATCGCCCTTGTTGTGCGACTCCGCATTGTTTTGAAGTATTGTGAATCGTTCTTCATTGTACTTTCATAAGGCCTCAGACAGAGTTCACGCGATGTGCTCGTCGCGATTCAATAGCTACAGACAAGTGTTACGAGCTCATTACATGCCAGTCTTCTTGTATTACGGGTTGTGATAGTTAACGAGTAATCGTGTTGGAAAACTATCACACTGTATCATCATTGCTAGAAGATCGGCATGCAATGAACCCGTACTTGTATTTAGCGATTGAATTGCGACGATAAATCGCGTGAATTGTGCCCGAGGCCTAAAGGACAAACTTCACACAGCCTCAGATTAAGCGACTTATTGTAAGGCATAATAGTGAAATGACCGTCGATACCGTCGAATACGCTCGATCTTCGCTCAGGCAATTATATAAAGAAATGATTGCTACGAGTATGACTCATCTTGTCTTGGCTAGCTCTGTTCCATCTAATTGCATCCTCATTCCCTTATTCACGGCTCATTTCGATCCTTTTGTTGAATCTTCAGCAAGATTTAGTTGCAAGAGTTGTCGAAGAGTACAAATCTAGCATAAGCCACTGTCAAGATAACATTAGGCTTTGTCTTATCTACCGAGTCCATTTACCGATGAAAATTATCGCGCTACTCTGCCACTGAAAGGATCTCCGTTTGAAAATAGCTAGACCGCTGTGATTGCGAAAAGTGATTGTAATTGCATTCATCTCTACTCTTTTGCTTCATTGATATTTCTCGGCTCGCTCAAAAGCATTTTTATCAATCTCGCTAGTGCCCCCTTTATTCCGCATGCGAATGCGCTCGACCAATACAATGCTTGCCCATTGTATCTAAAAAATGAGTGCAAGATCTCATGTCTAAGCTTAAAAGATAAAAGACACCGTTTACAAAACATATACATAGCAACTATTTAGTACAAACAGCGGATAACAAAAGAATAAACAAAAGAGCTTGTCTTCATGCTATGGTATACAAGGTTTGTGCTAAAGAATGGTATACAGGGTATGGAAAAAAATATAGTCAAAGAATTTATATGATTTTTGGGGTTTTCAATAAAAATTCAAATCAAGACTACATTTCACCATCTTAATAGTAATGGCATCGAAAACTTGGCAATTTTACAGAGGTGAATCCCTACTTACAGTGCGTTTTATCGGTGAGTTTTGCCACTTTCTCTCACATGTGTAAAGTTCTAACTTTTTTCCAACGAAAGTCTAAGAAACCTTTCACTGCTTAAATCAGCCCACAGATGCACCAGTAAAGATACTAAAAATATCCAGCCTGCAGGTGCACTAGAACAAGAGTTGTAAGTTCTTTGAAACGGAAAAAACCAGGGAGTTGCTCGTATAAAAACCTACATAAAAAGTGTTTGACTGAGGCAATCGTTGCCGTCAAAGCGCACATCGTCACTCTTTTGCACTCTTTACAACGGGACTTTGACTACAGCAAATATTAAAAGTAAAAAAACGTTTTATTGTAATAAATATGGCTACGCAGTTCAGATCGAAAAGAAAAAAAATCGATCTGAGCTGCGTATTCATGTTTACAGCGATAACTAAAACTTAAAGAAGGCCCTGAACTCACTTGACAAAGGTTTTCAAATTTTTTTGACGAAGTTCTGCGTTTTATGGACTATCGGAAATATGCGCGTCAAATGTGAAGTGGCAAGCTCAGTAGTTTGGAGTATCCGATAAGATGAAGGCATCATTTTGGAGGATGGAAAATAATTGTTGGACAATACCTACCTTCTGGCCTCTGCTCTTCTTGTTTCTTTTTATCCAACTTACCTAACTTGTTAAGAATAAACCATGAACCAACCACTGTAGCAGGTCTATCGCGACTCAGGAATCTCACACTATCCCTCTTCGTTGTACATGAGGTAGCGTTCAAATGTTAGCCCTCAGTCATATATTTTATTGAGCTCCAAGCCGGAATACATTCGAGTGACAGATTTATGTCGCCCATTGACCACCAACAAAAGCCTTTCGAGGAAGTTATGCCACTGCTCGCTAATGCTTAGCAATTGCTCTACATTAGCCAGAAATCTTTACTACTTTTTTCTCATCTAGATTCCTCTCTTTCCTTTTTAGTAAAAGTATTAAGAAACACATAGGAATGAGAAACAACACGGAAGCTGCTGTAACATTTCGAGAACTATCGAGTGGCAAGCTGGAAGTCTTCTGAAGGGAACTAACAGAATCATATAATAAGAACAAGTACCTCTTGCAACGAAAAAAATCTGTTCCGGGATTCCTTCAGGGGCCCTCGCTTTTTGCACTAAGGCAGTCGCTCAAATAGACTAAGTTTAGCTGTTGCAAAATACTTCCAAATTTTGCAGAAAGCACCTTCATTGTAGCTTGATGAACCCAGCACCCTTGCCGTAGTGTTCGACTAACCCGCTGACAATCCCATACCAAGCGTACGCGTAGCCGGTGTGGGGCTTACACGCTAAACACACTCCACCTTTGGACTTTTTATACAAAAAAATGAAACTTATCACCTAAACTACTGGCAATGCAGATGAAGCAAAGAAAAAAGCCACCAACCTAGCGTACGCTGCTACATCGAAGCTTAATCTCAAATTGATTCCTCTCGGATATTCCGATACCCACCGCAAATCGATCGTGTATGGACCAATCATGTATGGAGCAACGCGACCTTCGATGTTCTGCTCTTCTCATATTAGCTAATCATTCTCGCGCGAATGTGCATCTAAATTATTAAAGCTTAAAGACACCTTCCACCCACATTCTCGTCTTCCAGGTTTTTGTCGTTGTAGGGCTTTCTCATGTCCCTGATTCCGAATATGAAATCGAGAATCCGCGAAAACCCTGACAATCCCTGTTCCATTGACTTGATAGGAGGCCCTACTTTCGTATACTGCCAAAAGCTCAAGACCTTTAACTTAGGATGGACTGTGCCCTAAACCACTAAAACAGAAGAGTTCTTCTGGGAGAGCACGCTGGAGTCCTTGTCAGGCACATGGACGATCATTGAAAAGAACTATAGAGAGATGGGCATTTAGTTCTTCTTTATGTACCTTTGGCAAATGTCCAACAAGGAGAGGTCCGAGCGCGAGTACAGTTAGATATTGTCGACATTCACGGTCGCCCACTTGCGTTGTTTGAAAGGC